TCACTGAGATTAGGTAATAACTCCTTATAACTGCATACACAGTCAAAACCTCAGAGACCCTTGCACAGTTTCTGAACCATTTGAGAGATGCTGTGCCTCTCATGTACCACATCATTCCTAAAAGACACAGTACGTTCAGGATGGCAACTGACCAGACGGCATGGAGATACTGCCATTCTATCCTGTTCTATCACGTGGGGGCACAGGCTAGATCCTATGCAGGAGTGCAAAGGTTTCCCAAGACCCCGTCTTGCCATACAAGCCCTACACAGTGGGGAGGTTCTCGGGCTGGACCACAAGGAATCCCAAAGCAGCTCTAGAGTAAAGAGGGATCTGGGCACTCAGGGGCTGCCCCAGTACAATCTCCTGTGTCCCTCATCTAAAACCAAGAGGTTTAGCTTCTGGGGCGTCTCCAGCCCAGCTCACAGGGAAACCAGCTGATTAGCTGCAAAGAGCTGGGCTCCACCCCAGGCCTGGAGGCTGAGAGTCTCTAAGAACAGAGCCAAGACGGTCCTCTGGATAAAAGCCCCAGGTGCTTCTGCACAGTGTGTCATAAGCCCCACTCTGTAGGCAGCTGTCCTTTCTCCCCTCTGCCCAAGGACGAGCAGCAGATCACCCGCCCGCACTGCAGAAGATAACCAGACACTTCTGAGCAGGAAAGTGGGTCGGGGGAGGACCAGACAGCTGTCGGAGATGCTGAGTATTTGGGAACTAATCAGAATCCATCAGCAAAGACATCCTGAGGCTAAGGACAACTACAGACAGTTAAAGCCAGGGCTGGGGATGGCTTAGTCCATTAAGTATTTGCTGTGTTTGAGGATGTGGGTTTGATCCCTAGAACCCACACTTGGTTGGGGGGGGGGGGGGACCAAATGTGGTAGTGCATTGCCTGAGACACCCAGTGCTAGGGAAATGGAGGCAAGTGGATCCCTTATGCATACGTGGCAAATTCTTCCCAGTCAGTGATTGCCTCACATACACGGGGTGGGGGTGGGATAGACAGTGCCTAAGGAATAACAGCAAAGGCAGACCTCCAACCTTCACATACATGCACACGTACTCTGACACACATGTACCTGCATGTGCACGTGCACACACACACACACACACACACACACACAGAGGAGATGGGGGAGAAGACAGCAAAAGCTACCCATCTGGGGAATGGTCCCTCTTCTGTACAATCAGGGTGTAGAAGATGGAGCTGTCCAAGCGCTGTTGCTCTGGGGAACTGTACTGTGGGTACTCACAAAGCAGGTAACTTGTGTCACTGGAACAAGAATCCAATCTCTCTGTGCCTTGGTTGGTCCGTTCACACTAAGGGAATGTTGATCACAAAATAGGACTGCAGTGAGGGTTAGGTACCCAGGGCAGCACGCAGTAAGCACTCCATACACATTCAAAATTGCCAGGGCTAAGTCACGTGTGAAGGTGAAGGGGTAAAGGTCAACCAGTTGCTTCCTGCAAGAGGTCTGGAAATGACCGTACTAATGGTGCCAGTGGCAGGTGCTGAAAGTCTTCAAGGGTCACTGGGATTATAGGCATGTGCTCCGTACAGACAATGGGCCAGGATAAATGAGACCTTGTGGTATTCTCAGTGGGCACTCTACACTTGCAAGGCAGGTGTGATGGACCGCCTCTCCTGAGCTGTCCACGCTCTTCTCCTGAAAAGCCTGTGTCACGATGAGTACTCCCATAAGCACTCCGATGACATCTTGGAGACAGCTCCATCTTTCCCAACTCTCATCAAGGACTTGCTCCAGGCCGAGTGCACTAGAATCTTGTTATGTTACCAGGAATGGCATACTGGGGGAAGGGAGACGCTGAGACTTGTGGTTGGAAGGACTTCATCCCCTCACCCAACATTTCATGGCTATGTGGGCTGTGTCCTATCGGCTGGACTCTTGCCTTTCTCTTCCCTGACTGGGTGGCCTTGGGCAAGTCACCTGGCCTCTTGGAGTCTGGTCTCCTTACTTACACCTCGATGGGGCACTGGCTCTATACATCAGATGCTCTGAGGTCCCTCTTGGGACCAGAAGTTTTCGTGTACTTTCAGCAAGGTGGGGAAGGGAAGAGGTAGAGGAGCTAGGACAGGAATGCTAAGGAATGCCAGACTTAGGAGCAGTTTCCAGAGAGGTTCCACACTGCCTACCCACATAAAGAGACAAGGTGAATTTGGTGCCAAGTCAGTATGTTAACTGCAAGGGGGGGAGAGAAGGGGAGAAAGGGGCTCGTGTTGCCCCTGGTGCATCTAAGAGGCCACCAAGCCTACTAGGTCAAATGGTTATATCTTTAAAGAATTATGGTAATCATATGCCATATTTTCCAAATGAAACATGGAGGCTCTTGTGGTGGCACATACCTGCAATCCCAGCACTCGGGAAGCAGAGGCAGGAGGACCACAAGTTCGATGCCAGCCTGGGTGACATAATGAGTTCCAAACCACTGCACACTTGACATTCTGCAGCTCAGGGGCCTTGCCCTTTCTCCACCAACAGAAATAGCACACAGGCAGAGGACAGATGCTTGGTCCACCACCTAACACCCCCAATCAGTCCAGCTCTGCTCCTGGGGTTTACATTTTCCTCTAGGCTTAACTGCATTATTTGTTCCCACCAAATTGATGTCAGAGGAACAGTTTCTCCCCCATTTAATTGATAGCGCCTCTAAGTGACCAGACAGAATGACCTACTTGAGAGTTCCCTGGTCTCTGTTGCCTGCTGAGCACCCAGGCGGTGAACCTCGCCAGAAGAGTATGCTAAGCCCTGGCCTGGCCCTTCGGTCCATTACTATTCTTCATTTCCTGCCACCTAGAGTCCTTCTGATAAGCGCAAGAAGGGAGAAGGGTGTCATCTCATTCCCTTAAAGATAGCAGAGAAGTCAGTGAGAAGGTTACCTCTTCCCCCCCCTCCACCCCTGTATTTTCAAACAGGGAATGGAACTTCATGTTGGGGGCGCCCAGCAAAGCCAGCAGCGATTTCAAAGAGTTCTTCGGAGGCATTCACCGGTTGGGGGAGGGGAGAGGCACACACGAGCCGGACAAAATCAATAATTGTTCTAGGTGACATTTTCCGCTGTCAAGGGCAGGGCTCAGATCTCACTGGGTCAGTCGCACAAGAGATGGGCGTGTCTGGAGTTCATCCACGGGGCTGAGCTCACCTGAGAGAGAGCTGGGATAAGACTTCACAAGTGTGTGAAGGCTGGGATTCCGTTGGGTGTGCTCAGCACGTTAAAAACACACAGAAATGCTCCCCAGGTTGTTTGGGAGAGGAGTGTTTAGCTGATAGGAGCAGCCTGCTTGCGCTGGTGGTGCTGATAGGAAACCAGAAGTATAGAAACCAAAAACTGTACACCGCCCCCTGGGGGTCACCTTGTGTATAGGAGAGGGACCCACTGAGAAGCAGGGGTTTCTCTTTAGCATGAGTTAGTTTTCTAAACAATCCACCAACTGGGCAGCAACCCTTGAAGAGCTTTTTACAAGGTCACGCGAGACCTGGAGGAAATCTGAACTCAAAATGGGCACTAGCTTTTCATTTTTCGACGTCCCTGAAAGCCGGCTGGGGTGCATCCTAGCAGCTGTGACACAGGGATGGGAGGAGGTCTTTCCCTGAGCTCATTCCATGCCCCTTTTCCCCAGAGTCACTCCCCTCGTCTTGAGAGCTGCACTGTTCGGCCCCTCAACCCTGCCCATAAAAATCTAAAGGCGAGCTGACCCCTAGCGCCACTGCTACCTAACTGAAGCCCTAGTTCAATCTCCACCGAGACCACAGGGTCCAAGCTAACCAAGATCTCTCAGAGATGGTGTCAGTGAGCGCCTGTGAGTGACTCCAACTTAGAAGCCGTTCCCCCTGCTTCTACCTTCTGGCTCCCTTTCGCTGTCAGAACTCAGCATGGGCAGAGCCCAGGCCTCTTTGCAACACACATAGCTTCTGGATTTATGCTTTGCCCAGAGGAGCCAACAAGTCAATCATAAACAGGATGGTTGGATGCGGTCAGCTAAGAGCACAGGGAAAGCTAATTGGGGTTTGCTCTCTGATTTCCCATGCACTAGGAACTATCGTGCGTGTGTGTGTGTGTGTGTGTGTGTGTGTGTGTGTGTGTGTGTGTGTG